TTAACGGAAATAGTCAGATTAAAACAGAAGACTGTGTTATCAATTGTTTCTGACTGAATTTTACCAGGTGATTATAAGTGTATAGGGTTTCGCCGGTGTTGATGGTTGACTATCAAGCAAATATTTCCTCTCGCAGGAAGCAAAAAAGCTAATTTTGTGTTTTTTCGGTGTTATAGACACGTCAAGGTTATAAGACTGCACTAAGAACTTTGTTCATAGTTACATATTGCACTCACAGGTCTATTCGTTACTGAGCACAGGGGCGGATCTTGGAACCAAGGTGGGGGGATATATCAATTTTCTCGGCCCTAGCCCCCCCCCCCCTCCCTCAGATCCGCCAGTGGAGCAGGCGTTCATAACAATAATACGGTGTGTCCTTATAGTCTCATTACACTTAACAGAGCATTTGTAATTGTAATTGTGTATCTTGTAATATTTCTACAGAGGTTTATTGATATTACAGAGACATAACTTTTGAAATCACTTTGCTAGTTTAAAATGTATACGAACGAAATCTGGACTGGTTAGTACCTACTTCCCGGTAAAAATAATTATGAAAATGCTCAGGGTGTTTTGCTAGAATTACAATTTCTTTGCTTAATGTTCATTATTATGATATGGACTTTATTTTAGTTGGCCAACGTGTCCTAGTTTATGGCTATTGCTCATGTAGCATATTCTCTCTAATTTCCTTCAAAGGCCAAGGGTAGGAGGACAAAAACTCCGCAGTACCTCATCATATGCCAAACACGTGTATTCTTTTTTTCGTTTTGGTGTTTATCTCATAAATTGAAAGCTTCATTACTTTAATTAGCAGCTCTAATGTATTTTTGGATGACAGTGTCTTCGAAAGTAAATGTATGTGTTTGTTCCTAATAGTTAACAATGTCCAGTTGCATCATTGATGTCAAATCAACCAAAATATCTAAATGCAGTGATTATGCCTTATGTGATATACAAAACTTGATTATAAGGAAAACATTGAGCTTACTATATATCCATTCACGAATAATAAACTATTGTAATTCGATGTGGGTAGAGCAATCACCCGAAAAGTGAGGGGTCGTGGGTTCGATCCCAGCGCAGGGTTTTAATATTTTAATGACCTAGGAAAACACTCAAATACCGTTTTTGAAATTTTTAACTTTATTCAAGCTGATACATTTCGGCTAAAGTTCATCATATTTGTATTATAGACTGACTGCCACATAATCAACATTGTATGATATAAAAGTGTTTCGCTGTTCTTGCACTGTATCCGAGCGACCGCATGGAGGTCGATGCCAAAATAGTAGCAAAATATATTTTATGAATGTCCCAGAGCTAAGATCTGACCCGTAAAATAGATAAGGTCTTATTTTCCTTGAAGAAGTTGCTGGCGATAAGAACTTTTGATAACGTTTCATCACCATGTAAACAATGCATACTGTATGTGCATGTATAGTTACAGTAAACCTGTGTAAGTCGAACGTCTTGGTTCTGCGGAAGAATGTTCCACTTTCAGAGGTTACGGTATCTTAGGAATATGCCCACGCCATATAAATGAAAGAATTGATATGATGGCTGCACTGAGACAAAATAACCTACTTTATGATACAAACACATGTACAAATCAAAATGACCAATTAGAATATCTTATTTTTGAAAACACCCTCTGTCGAGTTTCTCAAAATACCCTCATTGACATAGTAACTGACTTTGTTGGAACGTGTTATATACACCCAACTAGAATTTAAAGTTAAAACTTTGACTCATATAGCATCTCTCAACCTCCTGGACCCAAATAAAATAAAATAAAAACTTATATTGTTTATCTATTTTATTTACAATATTTTACTTACTTTCTGTTTTGTGATATCTAAAGCCACATGAAAACTATGTTTAATTTACTTAAAGCAACCTGTAATGCCACATGGCGATTGGTATGCTTTTATATGTAATTGTTTATATTGTTTTCAATAAGTGAAATAAAATCATTAATAAAAAAAAAAAAAAAATCTTAGGAATTTAAATAAATACAAAAACAAATATATGATTTACATATATTTATTCTATAATATTTGTTTCCCCTGGGAAATACCTAGTAAACAGGGAATAGACTTGATATTCAAAAAATCCCGTATCAGCCAAAATCCCGTATCAGATCCCATATTAGAACTAGAAAAAAATGTTACGGAATAAATAGGTTATTGATGGTCGTGATGTATTATGAATTTGTCCTCCAGAAAATATAAAATTGGCCTTGGAAAATATTATTTTCCTTGGCCAGTATTATATTTCCCCTCGGAATAAAATTCATATTCCATCCTCCAATAAATAGCCTCTATTATTTGCCCCAATGACATACCATATGAGGACGTAGCTAGACGGTATTAAGATTTTCCTGTTTCTGTTTCTTGATCAACTGCAGTGATTTTCCAAGCATTTAAGCAAGTGGGCACTTCGCCAAACTATGATTTGAGACTTGAGAATCCATTTGCATCCACTTGAAAATGAGAACAAAATTTTGCACGTATTTGAGAACAGATAGCAGGTAGCGCTTGATTAAGAAGTCATGTTTTTCACTGATGTCTTTCACTGGTGTATTACATTAAATGTGATTTTCCTACCATTAGATACCATTTAATATCATTTTTGTACCATTAATAATCTACTTGATTTTACTCAAAATGGCACTGACATTCTTAATCCTTCTCATTCTCATTCTGCCATTTCAGTTCAGGGTATCTGAATCTTGAAAGTAAGTTTAATTATATTCTGCTAATAAGCCATTTGTTTTTAGTCCTAGAGATCAGGGGCGAAGGTTATTCACATGTTTTTGTTGAAAATTGAATGCTTTATTTTCACAGGTAGGTAAATATTTCATAATTGTGGGTTCAATGGTCAAACGAGATGTTCCACTTTCACAGGTTCAATGAGTTTTGAAAATGTGACTTTGAAAATGGGTTCCACTTGCGAGTCGTTCCAGTTGCGAGGTGTTCCACTTACAGAGGTCTCACACTTACCAGACAGGTTCTACTATACTCGTTTCCATACATACTCATGCCCGTAGCCAGCTTTTTGTAAGGGGGGGGGGCTCGAACCCCCATCCCCCTCCCCCCTGCAACCCCCCCCCCCCCCCAAAAAAAAATTCCCCATGCTAAACCAAGCCCCTTTGTGTTGTAAAGGACAGTGGGGGATCCGGAAGCTAACAAAGGGGGACCCACATTTCAAGTCAGTAAAAAAATATCCACGCTCTCACGGAAAAACTTTTTAGGGCCCTAAAATCAAAATTTGGGCCAAAATTTAGAAGATCTATGGCACGTTTTTTGAAAATTTGGCCTAACATTGAAAAAGTAAGGCCCAAAAAGGTCAAGTAATGCCCAAAAAGGCCTACTAAAGAGGCCCTACTATATTTTGGGCCAACATTTTTCTCCCATACCCATATCCCCCCCTGGAACCGCCAGAAGGCTATGTTTAACAAAACATAAAGAACGATCCTAAAAACACAGAGGGAAAGGGGCCCAAATATGACCGCAAAAATTGGGCCAAATTTTGAAAAATAATGCCCAAACAATGCACAGTAATGCCAGTTTTTTAATCTTAATTGCCCAGTGAATGTGGGGAAGAGCAAGTTTTTCTTCAAGGAAGCAAAAGGTAGGTCCACATTTTTTTAGGGAGATATCAGGGGGGGCTCGTATGAGCCCCCCGAGCCCCCCGAGCCCCCCCCCTGGCTACGGGCCTGATACTGAGGTTCTAGGTACATAATGCGCAGGGATATCTAGATTATGTAGGAAGCGGGGTAGATATTTTCTGTATCTGTTGCGCTAGCTCAGATTCGGGAAATACAGCTGTATCGATCCATCCAGGTGTAAAAGGGTAGGAGGTCCTCTCAAATTATGGTCCTACTCTCCATGGATTTATATGGTGACTTCAATACAACTCTTTCCCTCATTATCTTATACGCAATCAGGGCCAGTAAGGGCCGTTAATAAAGGGGACCATAATCCCTGGGGGACCATCATTTCTTTCACATATTTACTATTTTTGGAAAGGTTATTGAAAATGAAGTTAATGTTACAAAAGTGTAATTTTTAAATTTTGGAATCTAAAAAGGTAATCGCCCTCGCTCCTTCGGGAAATACACATATTTCCCTCGGGATAAAACCTGTATCCGATAAACCTCCCAGTACATAACCCTTGTATACCAAGTAACCATGGGCTAATTAATTTTCATTCTTTCTTACACTAGATATGTGCCAGCATATGTCTTTTAACATTGCATTGTTTAACAAATGCATAGTGACTTACAAGCAACATGTACTGCGTTGAATACTGATGACATATTGAAAATTGTGTATTTCCAGTTGAAATATTTCAATACAAGTCTATGTTATAACACAAGGCGCACGTAGGGACATAAATCTGATAATTGAAACAACGGAAGTGAAATAAGATACAATCATAATGATCCATATTGCAATCATCATTATAACACAATAGGACATATTGGAACACTATACAGCATGAATTAATACAACCCATGACTGGATGGGTTTTGTTACGTTCCCCAACAACCACAGGTTATCTTTACGAACCAGTTCCCAGTTAATGAGCTGTTCATTCTCTACTTGCCCTGTTGGTATAGGTCATTGGTTTTTTGCAATAAGTAGATTTTCTTCTTATTAGGAAGCATATTCATAATAGCTGGAGGTGAAACCCGTGTACTTGGGCATGAATATTCCTAAGGCATGTTAAACTCAGAATAAAATAACTAAGTTTGATCTAAAATGTTTGTTATTGTCGCTGTTGTTACTCATGAATATAATATACATGTAGCATACTTTTCTATAAATGGTGTGATATTTCAATATAACATTAAAGGGTAGCTTACACAGGGCATGGTATTTTGGTGGATCATTTAAAAAGTACTTTAGGGTGTGGCATTTTGATATACCATATAAAAGGTAACCTGAATTCTAGAGGTACTTGTGGTATTTTAGGTTATGAAATGAACTTACCCGCAACAACTTTCAAATTGGTATCCAGATTTCAGAATAATGGATTCGGCTGAAAGGAAAAACAAAATAGGATAGAATACGACCTGGTATAATCAAATAGTAATCAATCTATCAACATTAAATATGGCGATTTGATCAGGTTATTTTTTCACCAGTAAGGCTTGTTATACTGTATGTTCCTATCAACATTTTGTGTGAAGACGTTTCCGATTTCCATGACTTCGATCATTTACTGTACATAATGTATACTGCATTTATACATTAGTTCAGCTGATAATTATCAATCATTTTCGGTTTAACAATTGTATTAAGAAATTAAATAAGGAATTGAATAACCTACAGTTTTTGAATGAAAGAAACGACCTAAATTTTTCTTCAAAAGTTAAAGCAATAGAGAACCTTTTCAAAATCTGGAACTGGAGAAATTTAAGCCTGATTGGAAAAATACAATAATCAAAGCCATTGCAATATCAAAACTAACATACCTTGCATCAACTATTCTCGTTTGAACAAGTGCAAAACCTTATTAATTCTTTTATGTGGAACGGAAAACCACCCCTGATCAGTAATTATACGACAATAGGAGAAATAGAAAATGGAGGAATCAAAACCATTTATTTCGATTCACAGATAAAAACGTTACAAATACAATGGGTGAAGCGATTATATAACAAAAGCTAAATGAAAACTTTTTTTCGACAAATTATTGCCTAATCTCGACCCGAAAGAAATATTTCAAGCAAAATTTAAAAATGACGCCTTTCCACCTTTTATCTCTCAATTATGAAAACCTGGAGCAAAGTTCACAATGATGAAACCTATGATATAACTACAATAACAACCATTTGGAAGAATAAATGGTTAACAATAAATATCAAAACAGTAAATTACACTAATTGGAAAACACGAGGCGTAAAACAAATTAAAAATCTTATAAAATAAAACGGAGAACAACTAGGATACGAAGATTTCATTCAGAAGTACAATATCACTACGCCTTTTGTAACATATTATGGCATGCAATCCCAAGAAATTGGAAAACGCTTTTGCGAAATAAAAAAGAAAATATTAAAATTCTAGGAGCAAATGACATTCAAGTAAAAAATCTATGATAAATATAAAACACATCACCACAAAACAAATATACTGGTATATCATAAAATACATTTTTAAAGAACCAACAGGGAAACGATATTTCAACGCTAAATACTATCTCTCCGAACAGGAATGGAAATCAACTTTTAGATTACCCTTTGAAGTAGCCCGTGAGCCAAAAATACAAAGCTTTTAATATAAACTCCTATTAAACCTCACGCCATGCAATCTACTTCTGTTTAATAAAAAAAATCTCTGCATCAAACTTAAATGCGAATGTAACCTTGGCCAAATTGACGATACTCTTCATTTTTACATAGATTGCCCAACAGTAGTGAACTTCTGGAATGACATGTCATTTTTTTCAATAACATTCATTTAAACAATAGGGAAATACTACTAGGCATCACAAATAATCCCAAAAATTACAACAAATCTGTACTGAACTATTGCCTACTCTACAGAATATCAACAGAAAATCAGACTAGGCCACTCTTTATTAGAAAATGGAATTCTATTCTTAACAAACCAGAGATACGATTTTAACAAAAAAACTGTATTGTACCTACTTGTATTTTATTACCGTATTGTATTTTTACATTTCTATGTACCTGTATACTATGATTATGTTGTACAAACATGTTCCAATTATTGTATTTTTATAGTTCTACTATTAAGATGTAGCTATTTCGACTTCTCAAAGTACCCAAAATTGTGTTTATGTGTGTGAATTGTGATGTATTGTAAATTGTAAATGAAAAATAATGATAATAAATATATATATTTAAAAATAATCCAGTTTTTATTTTTTATTAAATGAAACAGTATTTTATGGCACTTGTTTTGCATATTATCTTAGCATAAAACTAATACGATAAATTAATTGATTAATATCTATGTGTTATCTACTTGGCTTTGATAACGTACTACATATTTCAATCCTCAACCAACCAGCTTACATTTCTTTAATATTGTTATTTAGGTTGACTTTATATAATGGAGACTTCAAGCAATGCATATAAAATCGAAACGTCAACCTGTACGTATAAATCGCCCTATACAAATGCATGTAGTTCTCTCACATAAACAGTTCGTTACTTAGAGTACACACCAGCGTGTAATTAAATATGCCCATTTATAGTTATATAGCTTGTTTTCTATCATACATATTTAAACAAGCTCGTTTCGTAAGATACGAGGGATGATCCAAAACAACCTGCTCTAATCTTGATGAAATTTTTTTGATGAAATTACTTAAAACTTTTCAATAATAAAGACCAACACCCTAACTGCTTTGTCTATTAATTCATGCGGAAATGATTTATTTTAGGTACTTTTCTAGATAGTTTTTGATATAGGGGCCCTACCACCCGGAACGATTCAGCATTAAATGTTGCCACTATTTGACTTGTTTTGCTAGTCTTAACCACAATCTTTCTTTGAATTGTGAATGTTAAACGATGTTAGTTTTCTTTCTTTGCTATCAACCAACCAACTAATTGTGTTCTTATTGTGATGCAACATAGGACAATGGAAAATGATATAAGGTTCTGCAAAAACATCTGAGAGTTGCCTTGTGTAAAAAGTGCAACAGTCAAGAACATCCCACCGATCGTATCCTGCACATGGACAACACACAGTTTCATCGCTCCACGTTTATACAAGATACTCTCGCTTGAGCAGCTACCACACGCACCATACAGTCCAGATTTGGCCCCGGTGTGAACTTTTCCTTTGTATATTGAAAAGTAGGCCTAAATATGTGAAGATGATGATGGCAGATGACATTCAGATTGCAGAATTTCTCTCGTATAATGACTGGTGTGAGGTTGTGCTCCTGCAACTTGAGTATTTGCCATACTAACAGTTGTGGAGTGATTTGCATTTTTAAATACCGTTCCGGGTGGCAGGGTCCCCATATTAAAAAATATCTAGAAAAGTATCGAAAATGGATTATTTTCTTGTGAAACTTACACAAAATTGTTGAGATGTTGATCTTTATTATTTGAAAGTTTCATGTAATTTCATTAAAAATAGCAAAGTTAGAGCGGGGCGTCCAAAGGTTTTGGATCACCCCTCGTATTTGGAACTAAAGCATGTATGACATACATCATTTTCTTCTGAAAACATTATACTGTGCATTGAAATCAAAATTGCCAGCATAGTATTCTAAAGACATGAGTTTAATGATTCACGTTGACACCAACGTGAAATTGCAAATTTCCCGTTCTGAACACGAAACTGGAACTGATCGGAGGTCTGAAGTCGACTAACTAGCGTTTGTTTTATGTGCGTGCTATACACATTACTGTGCTTCATTGACTTTGCGTTCAGGGTTACGTTGTGAAAAACATCCACTATCAGGAGCTATCTTGGTATTGAAGGATCAATACCAAGAATAAATGGTGTCAGGAACACGAAACTGGAACTGATCGGAGGTCTGAAGTCGACTAACTAGCGTTTGTTTTATGTGCGTGCTATACACATTACTGTGCTTCATTGACTTTGCGTTCAGGGTTACGTTGTGAAAAACATCCACTATCAGGAGCTTGAGAACCCGAGGCAAGATCTCAAAGAGCGTATTTTCCGAACTATACCGAATCAATTCATTTATTTTAGCATAAATTCTACCATTTGCAATTTGTAGTCACGTTTAATAGTCGCGTTTAATTCTATGGACCTAACTTGAATGAAACGAGTTTTTTACTTCAAGAGATCGTTGGAGTGGTAACGCATTCTAGAAATCACTATCTTTATTAAGTCGTGGTGATAAATGAAAATGATTTTGAATTTAAAGGTGCAAGAATAGAATTCATCGCAAGATGTGGAAGGTTCCATTTAAATGATGACACTTACAAATGGAAAAATCAATCAATTCAAAATTGGGGAACATGCATTAAAGGACAATTTATCCTGCGACCATTCATTGAAGGACCATCTATCCTGACACCATTTATTCTTGGTATTGAAGAGCAATCTATCCTGCGACCATTTATTCTTGGTATTGAAGGATCATCTATCCTGACACCATTTATTCTGAGTATTGAAGGATCATCTATCCTGCGACCATTTATTCTTGGTATTGAAGGACAATCTGTCCTGGCACCGTTTATTCTTGGTATTGAAGGGCAATCTATCCTGCGACCATTTATTCTGGGTATTGAAGGATCATCTATCCTGCAACCATTTATTCTTGGTATTGAAGGACCATCTGTCCTGACACCATTTATTCTTGGTATTGAAGGACCATCTATCCTGCGACCATTTATTCTGGGTATTGAAGGACAATCTGTCCTGGCACCGTTTATTCTTGGTATTGAAGGGCAATCTATCCTGCAACCATTTATTCTTGGTATTGAAGGACCATCTATCCTGCAAAAATTTATTCTTGGTATTGAAGAACCACGCATCTATACTACGAACAATTATTCTTGGTATTGAAGGACCATCTATCCTGCGACCATTATTCTTGGTATTGAAGGACCATCTATCCTGTGAACATTTATTCGTAGTATTGAAGAACCAACTATCCTGCGACCATTATTCTTGGTATTGAAGGACAAACTATCATGCGACCATTATTCTTGGTATTGAAGGACCAACTAACCCGCGACCATTATTCTTGGTACTAAAGGACCAACTATCCTGCGACCATCTGTTCCTGTGATAAGGGACCATCTATCCTGCGAACATTTACTCTTGGTATTGAAGGACCATCCATCCTGCGAACATTATTCTTGGTAATGTAGGACCATCTATCCTGCGACCATTTATTCTTGGTATTGAAGGACCAACTATCATGTGACCATTATTCTTTGTATCGAAGGACCAACTATACTGCGACCATTATTCTTGGTATTGAAGGACCAACTATACTGCGACCATTACTCGTGGTACTGAAGGACCAACTATCCTGCGACCATTTACTTTTGGTATTGAAGGACCAACTATTCT